CAGGGGGTTGGACTGGGTGATCTCCAGAGGGCCCTTCCAGCCCCAACTGGTCTGTGATTCTGTGACTGGTGGGGGATGGCTGTGCAGGGAAAGACCTAAGAAGCTAGATGAGCCTGTAAACTGCACGTCGTCAGTTATTTTATCCCTCCAAAGTTTGAAGCAAACCTTGGTCCTGCAAAGCAACCTTTGGTTTACAGCATTTTTTTCTCCCTTTCAGCCTGGGACAGGTCCTCAGGAGGAAGGGGTCTTGACACAGGGGGTGGCACGCAGCTGCGGCCACTGCAGCCCTCTGAGCCCAGGGACGGCTCCGGTACCTTGCTGAGAGCCCTGACAGATGGGGAGAAGAGCAAGTGGCTTTGTGTGGCTCTGCAAGGCTGGTGCAGCAGCTGCACTCCTCCAGGGAAGGTTTAGCTCAGATTAGCCAAAACCAACTCCTCTCCCCAAGACATGCTGACGTGAGCTGCACGGGGCTGGTCTCAGCTGGAAATCGCTCCTCGCAGGTCTTAACGCTGAGCAGCAGGGACAATCGAGAGCGGTAACAAGGCACTTGGGGCCAGCTCAGTATTTCAGATAAGTGGGCACAGATCAGGCAGCTGTGGCTCTGGGGTGCTGTGGGGTCACAACGGTGCTCGGCAGCATTTCTCAGGCCTGAACGGCATCTCAAGGTAGTTGGGGCAGGGAGGGAGAAGGGGGCAGGGGCTTACTACCCTCCTGTGGAAGAGCTCTGCTGAACACCAAGGGCTTCCTCTGCTCTTCTATCACGCTCATCCCCATGGTAGCGCACAGCTTTGCAATTTCCAGCATTGATGTATTTCTAGAGGACAGAACATGCTGCTCCTGTCAGTGATGTGTTTTAACTGTTATCAGCATTTATCTGCTTCAGGAATTCAGAGCGATAAGTGGATTAAGTGCGGTAGGTTTGTAGGGCTGCTAGGTCAACATCATCCTTCCGTCCTTTCCCTTCTCTTCCTATAAACAACCTTGTTGCTACTCTAAATGCCAAGTCCTAGAAATATGGCTGTCTGGAATTTTTTTTTAAAAAAATATATAGATCTAGCATTTCAAAAGAGATCACACGTAAGACTCAGCTGTGGGATTAGAGGCACGTCCAGGCCAGAAATACATTCTCTGCTGGGATTTGCTATGGTAGAGCTCGCTGAAAAGAAATGGCTTTGAAACGACTACCCAGCAGCTATTAACTGCGAGACAGGATGACATTCTGTTCCTTAGAGCCTAAAGGGAGCCTGAATCTTTGAATGTTAAATTCTATTTCAATTTGGTCTGGGGATTCTGGACTGGGTTTTAACCCTGGAGACATAAACGGGAGGAAGATGAGGAAAAGCTGGGGAGTTGTGTGTTTCTATTACCAGCCTGTAGCGGGGCTGAACTGAGCCCCCCTGAAACTTTGGTGGAACTAACCAGGATACCTGTGCCAAAGGAAATAAATTACAAAGCTCCAAAGGAATAGGTCGTTGTATGACCTTCGCTCATGCATTATACAGTACGCTGCTGGGTGAGAGCTGATCCCTGCAGTGTGACGAGCAGGGAACCGTCTGTCCAGCTGCAGCCCCACCACAGCACAGACTGGCCAGGATCCGTATGGCTTGGTCCTTCCTTTGATGCAGCAAATGCTCATCTCTTCCTGAGACTAAATACAGGACTGGGCCAGGTGCTAGCAACAGTTTCTGCTTGCAGCTGGCAAGTGGCCATTAATTTCACTCAAGCACTGTTAAAAAGTCTGCGACAGTGGCCAGCATTCCCAACCATGAGGAAAAGCACATTGTTCTGGCGCGCACGAACAACAAGTTTGGGCAAGTGCTGAACCTACCAGAATTGCCTGCTCACAGCTGCGTCCAATGTACACCCACAAGCAAAGGCACGCACACACACACACACACGTGCCCACACATGCCCCCACAGCCAACTCCAGGGAAAGCATTTACTCAAACAAAAAGGCTGCTGCTAGCCAAGGCAAAAGCAATGCTACAGAGACCACAACAAAGCCTCTTTATTGCTGAAGCGTTTAACACCACAACCATCCAAAAGAGAAACACCGCTTGGCGCAGAGAAAAGCTGCAGCGACTCAACAAGCCTGATTGCAGAGAGCGCCTCAGAGCATTCTCCAGCACGGCAGCTCCGGATTTGCTGCCTTGTCAGAGACCAGCTCAATCCCCCATCGCTGGAAATCCAGCCAGCGGCAACACACGCACCTCCGAGGATTCACAATCTCTTTGACTCCTCCAACCCCAGACTCTGAGCCGTTCCGTTTCCCTCTGCCTGGCGGCAGGAGCGGTAGCAGAGCCAGCGCGAGCGGGGCCGTACCTCTGCCAGCATTTTTACCACTGTTGTGCGTCGAGTGCCTCTCAGCAGGGCTGGATGATGCCGAGGTAAAAGCTGCCAATGCCCTCGCTACGTTTCTACCCATTGAACTGCTCTAGGGATGAGAACAATCAGCGACTCGAGGGAAAACCAGAAAAAGAAAGGTGTTGACGCTACTGTGGGGAAGGGAGGGGGCACTCCTCTAATTCCCTTTCACCAGCAAAATGAGTCTGCCTCAGAAATCACCCCGCTTCTGCTCTTTTTCTGTTCACCTACCGGAAAGGTTCCCAGGGCCTAAATTACCATCACATGCCTGACGCGCTCGCGG